AAATGATCTAATGTGGATATAAGAGCTGTGTTATCATTATGGAAATTCGTTCCATGTTGCAATTGTCCTTACTTCTAGTGTAATGTTGCCATGACATATTCTATTGAAAGAGATGCACCTACCAGAGTGTGATTGTGGTGTTGGTGATGATGGTGGTGGTGGTTGCGTGATAATTGTAGTGGGTAGAGGCATGGTTGGAGGGGGGGCAGAAGGTTCAGGTTGAGCATCTGCATGTAGGTCCTTTGTATACAGAATGGTGAACCCCACAGCTACATGTACTAGCAGCTGGCATCTTGAACTTCTTTTGGGTGACATCTGTGAAAATGTTAAAGACATTCTTTGGAGTATTTTAGTTATCATAACTTAATTATATAAATTTAAAATCTTCCACTGAGTAGCACTTTATAATGTTTTCATATACATTTGCCCATTGATCAATAGAATCTGACAGATGGGCAACATATCCAAATGATTGTGTTTGTTTAGCTTAAATTATAGCAAGCTGATGTGTTGTTCACTTTAAAGTCCCAGAGAGAAATATTCCTTTCCCATCTTCTTGTTTAGTTTTATCAGAACTGTCCTGGAATCTTGGAGTATAAATTTCAAATATAAGAGACCTTGATATACTAATAGATATAGATTTCAGTACTCTAAAAATGGGATTATTATGAATATATTTATTGAATAGAGTTTTAATTTATGTTAAAATTGTCTCTGTGTGTAACTGGAGGGAGACATATGCGGTCATCTTTATGGTTTGGCTTATTTATCCGTAACCAGAAGGTTCACAATACCCATTACACAAGAGTCTGATTTTTTGAGACCCTGGAGCCATTCTGAATGTAATTATGCAAAGAAATGCCAGGAATCAGACAACATTCCTCAGTCCCATGGCCTCATATAATTCACTTTCAATATTTATAACATAATTAACTTGATATAATTAAATAATATAAATAAATAATGAAATGCTTATGCTACTTATTTCTTTGTTCTTAAAGCTTATAAATAATTTTTGTTATTCTCTTCTTACTTGGACTGGAATGAAATATATTTGAAAACTGAGGCAATGTACTAAAATAATTATAGTTTTATGATATTTTCAGAAACTTGACAAGAAGATACTATACATACGTTGACTGGAAAGCATGAGAAGAATACTGCAAGTTGGAAGTCTTCTGACACTGTATCTGCTGCTGACAAAATGATCTAATGTGGATATAAGAGCTGTGTTATCATTATGGAAATTCGTTCCATGTTGCAATTGTCCTTACTTCTAGTGTAATGTTGCCATGACATATTCTATTGAAAGAGATGCACCTACCAGAGTGTGATTGTGGTGTTGGTGATGATGGTGGTGGTGGTTGCGTGATAATTGTAGTGGGTAGAGGCATGGTTGGAGGGGGGGCAGAAGGTTCAGGTTGAGCATCTGCATGTAGGTCCTTTGTATACAGAATGGTGAACCCCACAGCTACATGTACTAGCAGCTGGCATCTTGAACTTCTTTTGGGTGACATCTGTGAAAATGTTAAAGACATTCTTTGGAGTATTTTAGTTATCATAACTTAATTATATAAATTTAAAATCTTCCACTGAGTAGCACTTTATAATGTTTTCATATACATTTGCCCATTGATCAATAGAATCTGACAGATGGGCAACATATCCAAATGATTGTGTTTGTTTAGCTTAAATTATAGCAAGCTGATGTGTTGTTCACTTTAAAGTCCCAGAGAGAAATATTCCTTTCCCATCTTCTTGTTTAGTTTTATCAGAACTGTCCTGGAATCTTGGAGTATAAATTTCAAATATAAGAGACCTTGATATACTAATAGATATAGATTTCAGTACTCTAAAAATGGGATTATTATGAATATATTTATTGAATAGAGTTTTAATTTATGTTAAAATTGTCTCTGTGTGTAACTGGAGGGAGACATATGCGGTCATCTTTATGGTTTGGCTTATTTATCCGTAACCAGAAGGTTCACAATACCCATTACACAAGAGTCTGATTTTTGAGACCCTGGAGCCATTCTGAATGTAATTATGCAAAGAAATGCCAGGAATCAGACAACATTCCTCAGTCCCATGGCCTCATATAATTCACTTTCAATATTTATAACATAATTAACTTGATATAATTAAATAATATAAATAAATAATGAAATGCTTATGCTACTTATTTCTTTGTTCTTAAAGCTTATAAATAATTTTTGTTATTCTCTTCTTACTTGGACTGGAATGAAATATATTTGAAAACTGAGGCAATGTACTAAAATAATTATAGTTTTATGATATTTTCAGAAACTTGACAAGAAGATACTATACATACGTTGACTGGAAAGCATGAGAAGAATACTGCAAGTTGGAAGTCTTCTGACACTGTATCTGCTGCACACTGATATTGATAAGAACTGAATTTATTGCCTCCTGAGGCAACAGCAATACTTCAGTGGAAGCTGCAACACACACCCTAGCAATCAAGAAGGAAGGATATGGTTTTTGTTGCCACTTCCTGGCCATTGACCTTGTCTTACCAAGCCTTTATCTTGCTCTTGTCATAACTTTTACAGTCTACATCCTGTTTTTTATTTTTTATATGATATATAACTGTCTCTGAGCAAACTTCTCTAATACTTTGTTCAAACACTGTGTAGCACACCTTCATTTATCCATTCCTGCATTATCAGCCGCTCTTTCTATCTTGTGTTCATAATAGCACTTGGCTGTTTACTGTACTAGGAGCAACAATCCAAGCAACAAGTTTTTCACACGAATAGTTACACCCATCTTCATTAGTTGTGAGTCAGAAATTACTAGTGATAATAGAATGATGTTCACACCGCACAGGAAGGTCATCTGGTTTGCTGTATTCTCACGATTGTTAATATTCTTTTTGTCTGCTGCTTTCAATTTTATATTACCTGATCATGACGCTGATGCATTTCAAAGTCCTCGGGATCCTTCTGACAAAGAATGGTCATCACTTGATGATTTTGTGAAATATTTGTTTGGTGGTCTAGTGCGTTGGGATGCTCAGTACTTCATTCACATAGCACTGTATGGTTATACGTATGAGAATTGTCTTGCTTTCTTCCCTCTGTACCCAATGAGTGTAAGAGTGTTGGCTGTATGTCTGCTTTACCCACTTGAAGGATTTATAAGTCACTATTCTGCCTTCGTCTTGAGCTCGGTGGTTGTTAACTTTATAATTTTTATACTGTCTGCATCAGTGTTATACAGATTGGGCTTGCAAGTTCTTAGGAGTGAGCAGTTAGCTTACAAAGCAGCTATATTGTACTGTGTAAATCCTGCAACTATTTTCTTTGTTGCTCCATATTCAGAAACTCTGTTTGCTTGTCTAACGTTTTATGGCATGCTGAAGTGTGGTAGTGGCAGTACTGACCATTTCTCTGTGGGGTGTGGCCTTCCATTTGGACTGGGAGCAGTACAGAGATCAAATGGGATATTAAACCTTGGATTTATTTTTCATAAGAAATTGAAACATTTTTTACATTTTGTAATGCCTGGCACCAAGGCAAAAGCCAAACATTTGGATTCTTTCTTATTAGCACCACTCCTATTGATTGCACCAGTTATTTATCTTATTTCTCTTATTGGTGAAATTCTTCTTTCAGTGATTCCATTTGTGTTGTTCCAAGGGTATGGGTACTATAAGTTCTGCATAGTTCCTGACCATAATTTGCCAAATTTTATTGTTTCTTATGCAGAAACCAATGAATTGAGACTTCCTGGAACTGCTTCACTGAAACCCCCAATTAATCACAAAGAGCACTGGTGTAACAGCAGTGTACCACTTGCATACTCTTACATCCAAGATCATTATTGGAATGTGGGGTTTCTCAGATATTACCAGTGGAAACAAATTCCAAATTTTCTGTTAGCCATGCCAGTAGTTTGGATAATATTTACATATGCATATAGATTTGCAAAACAACATCCTCATCTTTGTTGTACTTTGGGGTTGTGGAAAGATCTGTCGTGTACTGATACAAAGGTTATAGAAAAGTTGAGAGTTCAAATGAAGCAAAACAAAATTAAATTTGCACCAGAAATGTTTGTATATGTGGTTCATGTGACATTTTTGACAGTCTTCTGTATTTTATGCATTCATGTTCAAGTAACAACCAGAATGATTGCATCCTCTAGCCCCATCTTATATTGGTTTACAGCGTACCATTTTTGTAAAGTACCAGCATCTGTAGAAAAAGAAGAAGGAAAGAAGGATTTTAATATCAGAAATACTGTACGCTTTGGTAGTCATCTTTGCAACATCTCAGCTAACAAAAGAAGAAATGTGCTTGAAGAGAGAGTTGATTCTTTAGAAAATCTTCAGAGCAGGTGGAAGGTTTTCATTTTAACTGACCCTGCTCCAAATCGAGAAGCTAAACTAATTCAGTATTATTATCTTGCATATTTTATTGTTGGGACTGCCTTGTTCAGCAACTTTTTTCCTTGGACATGATTTCAGGGACAGCTGTTTTTTTAGAATATTAAGCATTGATTTTTAAAACATTTCATATTTGTCTGTGTACCAATTTATTGTCAGGGTGTAACTTTTAATGCATTGGGAAGAAATGGGAATCTTTACAGCATTTTCCTTGTTTTGTGTAAATATGCTGTGTTTATTTGCACTCTTATTTCCAACAGTGTTATTTTCTTTATTGGTTTACATTCATCCTTGTACATACAGATTGAGATAAGACCTAAGGTTCTCTCGCTTCCTTCCTACATCCTTCCTGGAAGTTCACTTTTATCATTGTCACAAGTGGTTAGAGAGGGGGGAGAGAGAAGAAAGAAGTTACACTGCACTCAGTTCACATTTTAAGAATAATCAAGTCTTCATAAAATTTCTGTAGGTAAGTTTAATGTTTATTGTGGTTCACTTTTCTTTGTACTGTCTCATTAGTCTGGAGAAACTTTGTGTGCTTGTAGGTTTAAGTAAAAGCTGTTATTTGTTGGATGAATAACAGTGTAGAATTGCAAGTATCACTGTCACAGATAAGTAAATGTGTTTATATATGAACAATTAAAATTAATTTTTGAAAGTTAATGGCATATTTTGTACTTTCAAGTGGAAAACTTGTGTCATTGAATTAATGGTCTCAGTTTAATAGATACATGTAACAGTGAGTAAAAATTTCAACATAGATATTGCATTATGAAGGGCATTTACATCAATTAAAACAAATTAAAATGAAGTGGACCTGTAAACAGCAGTGGATTTTGTGAGTATTTACCCACACTGAATCCCTTTAAGAAATATTCATTAGTTAATGAGAAATAATTTAAAATGCCAGGCATATCCATCTTACGATGATCTGAGAGGTTTGCAACACTGTTGTTTCTCCCCATTTCTGAGGGATGCAGTGTGACTGACCCCAAAACTTCACATCCTCTTCCTTACCTCATGACCAGTCACAACAAGGCCCTAA